TTTAGTGTTGCAAACTACCAGAAGAACAGTTTAAGCATACTTACTCAGCCTCAATGGTCCTCCTTGCAGAAGACTGCTGAGAATACAACGGTGTCTCTCTAATCAGAAAATCAAAGGGTGAGAGACATTCTAAACACCTTTATATATTATCTTACATCTCATTTTCTTCTGGAGCTATGCTGTGCCATTACCCTGCTTCCTCTTGGGAAAAAAATCCACCAGAACACCCCCAAACCCTGCTCCAGTAGCAAAATCCACTGCTTACATTTATTCCTGAATTACACAGAAGCCTGATAGTGACTCCAAAGTATTTTAACACTTCACTAGATGCAGTGCTCTAATATCTGAAAGCCCTGTTACTTCAGATGCTATAAAGACCTCCATTACCCTAAGAGTGCTTTTTTTTTTTTAAACTCAGAGTGCAGCTTTTCCTCAGCTGAAAATGCCTTTCCCTGAAAGGACCAGAGAGCAAACCAGCAAGATGTGCATGATAATTAGACCAGCAATGAGGAGAATCGGGTGGTAGTCCTTGGGCTCTGGCCTGATTTCCAACACTGTTCTTGTACTGTAGACAGTATTCTGTTACAAAGCTTTACATTATCAGAAAAAGATATGGGAAATGCCTCTCATCTGCAGTTCTTGTAGATCATAAGATTCAAAAGGCCAGTTGTCTGGAGACCCTTTTTCCTGAAAGAAAATACCAACTGGAATGCAAATCCAATATAGTCAGTAGTACTAGTAGTACCACTGTAAGTAGTGCTGTGTAGTACTAGTAAGTAGTACTGTGTAAGAAATACACAACCTATAAGCTCAGATGTACAGAACTAACAGCTGTACTGATGTGCCATCGCTCCCACTCCTGACGAAAATACTCATATATTTCAGAGCTCTCTTCCTTAACTGGTTTCCCAGTGGAACTTTATCATAAGAAAATAATGAATTTTGAAGTTGGGAAAGGCCATTGATACATAAAAATACAAAGCAAAGTCCTGTGAGATTTCTAGAGAGAACCCATAGTGAAGGCTTATGGCCTAAGAAGCAGCTGTATAGAAAGCAAGAAGGCTTCAAACATTCATTCCTGCTCTAAATTAAATACCTGAGGAAGGAGTATGGAAAAGCAGCTATTCTTCTCTCAGGCTCATGCACAGTATATCTTCTATCTTCAGCCTACAACACAGAGATAAAATCTTTACTTAAGTGCAAGCACACAGCAAATTTTACCATTAAAATGAACCTAATAACGATCTATGATTAAACAGCCCTACAGATTTTGTGTATTTTTTTTTTTTAACTTTGGGTAAACTAAGACATATGGCAGCAAATGGTCATCGGTTTTGACATCCAAAATTTCACTGAGGGGCAACAAGACACGTGAAACATTATTCCTCTAACAAGTATGTCAAAGATGAATTCTCTAGAAGCCAGAGGGGGTCGATGGCACCAGCAGAAGTAAGATTTGGTATGCACAAGCAGGATCCAGCAGTCTAAATCACATCTCTGAAGCTGCTTGCACAAAACCGATGGAAAGTAAAATTGCTGACCACTTGACCTACATTTTACATGACAGTACTCTGATAGGGCTACTGTGAAGCTATGTGACTTACTGTTGTCACTTTTATGATAGCCAAAGTCAGATATGACAGTTTTGAAATGAAATCAGAAGCTCTTCACAAAACTGGAGTGAAGCCTTCCGACTAATCATTTAACCTTTTCGTAATGAGGTCAGATGCAGATCACTTCAGGTGGTCTCTCTTCTATTTTCAGTAAAGCTATAAATACATATTCTCTGCCACCCCTCCCCTCCAATGAATAAAGCGTAATTATTTGCCTTATTAAGCTAGAGATATGAAGAGTCTGATCCTGTAGCCTTCATTCAGGAATGAAGTCCACAGTTGAATTCAAGTATTTCTCCTATATTGGACAGGGCTGTTTGTTTGAGAACTTGTTTGTATAGTGGCTATAAGATAAACCACAAAGTAGGAACCTAACTTCTGATAAAACTCATTCATCCAAACATTAGTGCAAATTACGACAAAGTAACTTCAGATTTGAAGTCTTGAGAAATACTTCAGGTCTTCTGCCTGCTTCCCTCTGCCTCTGAAAGATGCTGATATTCCATCTCATCTTCAAAATTTAGTAATCTTAAACCACATGCTGAGACAAGTTTTGAAAGACCAAAAAACTAAGTTCAAGTGTCACAAACACTGAGCAATTCAAAGCAAAATGATTAATGCAAACATTTACGTGACAATGACAAAAGAATACTAGAAGCTGGTAGAATCTGAAGTAGTGAGATTTTTCATTAAGGCATTCCAGATATATTCAGCAAGACACAAAGCAAACAGTATTATGGATAACTTGACCGCCCGCTGGTTTGGGTGCTTCCTTACAGGAAGGGACTCCTTGTTTTCAATTCTTCTGTCAACAATATTTTGGAATATGTTATCCGATGTTAAAAGGAAGAAAACTAGTGTAAAAGAGGTACCTCCTACCGCTGAAAAATTATGTACCAATTACCTATGTCCTTAAGAGATATTTAAGTGATACTATAAAAACTGTTTCATTTTTAAATTTCATAATACAGTAAGTTATTATCTCTTCACATCTGCAGTATTTTTTCTTATCATTTCCACTTGTTCTTCTGAAACTCTCTCTTTTACAGAACTTATGACAGTGAAGAAAAGGAAACTTAAAGCAGTTGTATATTGCTGTTGCAGAGATGAAGTGTATACTCCAAAATGATGGTGAAGGGTGTGTGGTAAGAGTACCCAGATTACTGACAGATGTATTACCTTCGACATGCTCTTCTGCTGCTCAGCCAGAACTTTTCTCTCGAATGCTTTTTCTGCAGATGGAAAGCTATAAAATTTAGAGATGTATTAGATTTCCAAGAAGGCTGCTTTCAAAATATGCAGGATGAGAATGCCAGTGCCACTGTGGAAATTTCCCATCAATCTGAATGGGACGTAATACCAAAATGCCCGACAGTTTAGAAAATTTCTGTCAGACTTCCACTAGTAATAAAACTAAGGCATGTTTCACTTTGAAGGATGACAACAGTCATACATAGGTGATCCATATTTGGCTGCATATTTACAGGGGATAGCTATACTACCCAAAATAATTGTTCAGAATTAAGAACGGAGCTGATCCTATACACTAGAAGTGCACCAGGAAAATGTATGACCCACAGCAAGAAAATCAACAGCTGCAATATGGAACTTAAGTTATCATTATTCCAGTCTTACAACATTCCCACTTTGTTTTAGGAAAAAAAAACAGAGTGAGATATGCAGGCACTAACGACACAAAGGGGAGATTTCTCTTTATGAGGTAGTATTAACTAAAATAAAACTGTTCAACTTGCTAAAGAGTTCAATGCAAGAGTAGAACATTGGTTCAGTATACAGTATTTCACATAGGACATCTGAAGGCATTTAAATTAAAATGTTAAAAAGATAATGAAAAGCTGCATTCAGGAGTTTAAAAAAATGGTTGCATGATGTATTCATTAATGATTTGGAAAGTATGAGACTACAGGGGCAGCAGTGCAGAACTACCTGCATGCTTATAAGTGGTTAATTCTTTAGAAGACAGAAAGCACAACTATACACCAGAGAAAGCAAAGAAAAGAGAGAGTGTAAAGATTATCCCTAGCAAGTGTGAGATCCTACAGTTCGCATTCAGGGGCACTTTGTATCCAATTCGTATAGATGAAACCAGTTGCTTCAGAGAGAGGACAACAAAATATGCCAGTGAAAAAACAGAAACAACAAATTCCATTCTATTTTTTGCTAAGGCACATCTAGAATAATTTCAGAATAATTATTCTGGTTTTATACAAATGTGAGAGCAAAACATGTTGCTTTTATGAACATATGATCTTATGATAACAACTAAATTGCAGTATCAAAATAAAGTTTTGATCTCTCTACCTGATCAGATCAGTCTGTGTTTGAGCTTCCACATGTTGCTTGCATTGGTTTTCAGTTTTCCTTTTCCTTTGAGCAGGATTGTAATACCTGTACCCTGACAGGAAAGATTTAGCATCTGATATTAAGATGTGTGGAGTAAAAGGTTTTCGGCTATGAGTAAAGAATTTAGAGTGCCTGTCTAGAAGATCCCCACTGCGTGCTTTGGAGTTGCTTCCTTGACGCCTCTGGTAACGACTAATGCTCACAGAACTATCAGAGGAACAACTGCACGGAAGTCCAGAGCGTTTTCTTGGTGTACTTGATGTACTGACACTTGAGTTAGATGTATTCCGAGAACCTTTTCTGGCATATGTTACTGGACTGGGGCGAGCCAAGCCATGCTCACTGTAAGGAGACAGCGCTCTCGATAGGTACTGTGCCTGCCGAGCACAGGAGAAGAGACCATCTTTGTCTTCTGCTTCCAAGAAACTCTAGAAAAATGAAAACAAGATTTGATTGCTTTGCAAGTTACCAGCTTTGCTCAAGTTGTTACTCCCAGTTATCACTGTTACCAACTTGGATGTATTTTTCTATGTAAAAACTTGCCATTTTTGTAAAATTAAAACTGGTTTCAGAGCAGCAATGTGCTCAGTTTACATATAGATGTACTTAATTTCAGGTGGTGGTACACAAATGGTATTACTGCTCCTGCTTCTTAACTGTTCAACACATTAGAGTTTAAAAATGTACCTCAACTCTCAGAAGCAAATTCATACTCAGTGTTAGTATATGTGGTGGTATGGCTAAGGTAAGATGTAGGCAGTGTGTGGTTCAGACTAAAAGCTACATAAATCTGTCCTATGGAAGGTGATGGGGAATTTTCCAAGACATTCCATTTCAGAAGGGCTGACCTTTACTAAAAACATTGTTTTAATGCCAGGGGTGAAGAAACAGCTGATAACATAAAAATCAATATTTGAAAACTAAGTCTACCATTCAGAAAGGCTAAAACATGAATTATTTGAAAAGACAATGCTATTTTTATCGGTTTTGGGGAAAAAAAACCCCAAAACTAACAAAAAAAAAAACAACCAAATTCAAACTTAATGCTTAAAAATTCAACATTATCCCTGAAATGTATTACGAGATCATGGCAAAGACAAGAAAGACAGGAATACAAACAAATCTAAGTGACATCTTAAGGGTATGTTGTTTTCCCCCTTCCCCCAAATACGAAAGAACAATTCAACAGAAATTTTATTTCTGTCAAAGAAGGAACTTTGAAAAGTTTGCAGCTTCAAAGCATAAACACCTGGACAGGGTATGTGCTCCAGTAAACATGCTGTACATTGTGACCCAAAAAGTTAGGAAGCATCTTAGCAAGACACCTGTTGTATATTCTTTTCCTGCCCTAGGACGCAGCCACCCACTGAATGTTCTGTCAGTGACACGTACACGTGACATTTACAATCTCTGAAGAGAGCCATATATGTAGAATTATAAGATTAAACCAGAAACCCAACAGCAAACAGATTTTTTAATAAACTGACTAATTTCATCCACATGTATAACTATTTATGCAATTCAAGTTCTGCTACACACAACCGTATGATGGAGAAGAGAGAACTTGCATTGTGTGTACTCAAACTACCTAGAAGGACAACTCCCAGAGACAGTTGCTTACACCTAGGCCCTGCAACAGTGAGGGAGACAACTTGATGATAGTGTTATTCCAGAAAAACTCATGTTGTTCTGTGCAATCACTATAATACAAGGCAAAATAACAGCTAAAATAAAACAACATCTGAGAAAACCCAATTTGAACCCAACAGGTAACAGATCCAAAATAATTCAGTAGTAACTAGCTAGATGTTTAAAAACAATTATTTTACTTTCCTTACACTCAGGCAGCTGATGTAGCTTCACATCAACAGTACCTACATGCTGCAAGATTTAAGAGAATGCATACAAGTACAGGTGTTTTCTCAGAAGAAAATTCAATTTCTAAGGGCAGTTGAGGACCAGATTTGTAAGAAACCTGAAGTTTAGGTTCAAACATAAAACACAGATTAATATGCTGATGCCCCTCCATCATCTGAACAAAGAACAGGAAGATAGGAGAGACCTGTACAGGCCATAAAGCTCTGCAGTGAAAAATGGGAGAAAGGGAAATTGATTTCTGTGTTTCACTCATCTCTATTATGCTTGTATCAAACATGTAAAGACTATTAAATAGAAACATTACATTACTGATGTCACTGAAGGAATAGCTCCCCTTCAGAAAGCCTGTGAAAGAGTGGATCCAGTATGATATGACTTAAACATATGCAATTATTTATGGCATACAACCCTAACTGCCAGTTGAGAAGATGCACCCAGCAACCCATCCTCATTTTACAATTAATCCATGTTGAAATTATTTTGAGACACTAACACCAAAGCATGGATTTGGTGGATTTCTGGTGATGCTTCACTGCCTGAGCACAATATAAACCTCAAGAATGCTACACTTCTTGAAAATAATCAGATGCCTAAGATGTGGACTGAAGTTGGATGTGTGATTTTCCCCACCAGTGGCAATCGACCGAATGTCAATAAAAGCAGCAGAATCAACTGTAAAAGAAAGTACCTGTGAGAATTCTGCAAGATTATCACTACTTGTGATACTTCTAAAGTCTCCAACTGGGAGACTTAGGGAAGGGGAAAAACCCCAACCAACCACAGTAACCTACTAATATACAGTACAGGATAGTAATATATAGTATAGTGTCTTAACCTATATAATTCATAGTATATCATGTAAGTACATGCAGATTTTCTATGCTCTTACTGTATAAATGCTGCATTTTCTCATAACATTGCTACTTTTATTGCTTGCGATCTACACTATTCCCTTTTTCCCCATTCAGAACCATTGAATATTTTAAATTAAAACCCAAGATTATGACAATACATTCTATAGCACATAGTAAATGCAATTTATGGGAATATTAAAAAAAGGCAGATAGTTTACCATCAAAATTAAGTCACAGATCACACTGCTGTCATACCATATTATTTCCTTCACGATTCCATGCAACATTATCTCCTCCATCAGTAACACCTATCTCTGCTAGGCCAGTATCCCAAAATGTCCACAGCTGCTGATACCTAATGCAAAAAGGTATTTTTAGTTGGTTTTTTTTTAGTTCTCTCTTTTTTTTTTAGCTGTGCCAAAATAAGCCCTTCTTGATGGGTGTCTCATGTGAGCCAACTTCATGTTACTACTACAGCATAATTAAATGCTGAATTGATAACATGCATAACAATACCAAACAAATGCCTGTGTTAGCAAGCAGTATAATAAGGCTTACCAGTGTTAGTCTGCATATGAAGTACTTGCAGTTGCAGCTCAGCACTATAGAAAACAGGTGAGACTGGAAACTTTCTGAATTCACCTATACACATGTTCTGAAAAGTTAATTCATAGAATCACAGAATAGTGAGGGTTGGAAAGGACCTTAAGATCATCTAGTTTCAACCCCCCTGCCGTGAGCAGGGAAACCTCACACTAAACCATCTCACCCAAGCCTCTGTCCAACCTGGCCTTGAACACCGCCAGGGATGGAGCATTCACAGCCTCCCTGGGCAACCCATTCCAGTGCCTCACCACCCTCACAGGAAAGAATTCTTTCCTTATATCCAATCTAAACTTACCCTGTTTAAGTTTGAACCCATTACCCCTTGTCCTGTCATTACAGCCCCTAATGAATAGTCCATCCCCAGCACCCCTATAGCCCCCCTTCAGATGCTGGAAGGCTGCTATGAGGTCTCCACGCAGCCTTCTCTTCTCCAGGCTGAACAGCCCCAACTTTCTCAGCCTGTCTTCATTCCATACTCTTCAGTATGTATTATAAACAGCTTAATTTTTCTTATATACTTTTTACTCCCAGTGGCTAACAGTTCAGGGAGCTGCAAAATAAATCAGATTGTAGATGCATTTGTGAACATGTGATGATGATAATAATATAAAGTGATACTAAGCGATTACACAACTACATCTCATGAAAGCCACGTTCTATTTCTTGAAAGCAGCTGAACTGTTCATAAAACAAGACAAAACTACAGGGTAAATGTGATAATATCCTGAATTTAAGCATTCCTTATTTATGAGGACGCTTAGAGCAGTTCTTTTCTTCTCCTTCTCGAAAATATCATGAGTAGAACAGACCAAGAAGCTAGGTAGTGACTAGATAAAACTACAAACCCAAGTTGTATTTGTGTCAGTCTTGACATGTACTCATTTAAATACTGAGAAAGAAGAATGTCTTCTGAAGTCCTAACCCTGGGGTAAACCTTTACTGCTCAAACAGGTAGGCAGCTCAGCCTCTGGATACACAAAGAGTTATCAGTAACAAGGAATTATGCTGGTGACTTCAAAAAGATTTTAAGGCATGTCAGAGAACGCTGTTTGTCTGCAATGTGTCACCAAGCTTTCAGAAAATTATTTGTACACCTGTGTTGGTATGGGCATGTTAACTATAAGCAAGTATGTTCTCTGATCTGTATCTATAAAAGCATTATGGGGAAAAAAAGATGACAGAGACATGCCTGCAAAGATGCAGTAACACACTGATTGAAAGATCCTTAGCTCTATTCTTCAGACACAACCGAAAAAAAAATAAAACCCCAGGGAAATATCCTATCTTTGGATAGAAGCACTATCATGAACTATAACATAATTCGGAATCAAGAATCTCAAAACCCATCTTGCTTACCAATATCTATTCTATTGATAGATATTTTGAAGTTTACAGTTTCAACTCTAATTTGGGGTGTAAAATAAAAATCTACTCAATGACACATTTCAGCAATAATAACCCCCTTATAAAGGTTTCATAAATTAAGTAGTTATGCTTCAATTTTGTTAGTCACAAAACAGGGGTAAATGGACTATTACTTGCAGCAAGCTTGTATAAAGAGGACCCCTGAATCTTCATCAACCCTATCGGAGAGGAAGTTCAGTAAAGACAGATCAAAGCATAGTGCAGTTACCTGATGGGCAAAAGAAGTAAGATAAAGAATCAAGATTTCTAAGTTACTTTTACTTTCCAAAAGAAGTTTAGTTTTTCAACTCAAAAGCCTCTGAGGTATCACCTGCCTTTTAAAAAACAAACTTTGAAAAGAAAGCTCTCTAAATCTCTTTTTACATAAAAGGCCCAAAGACACCTCTCACTATGGTCACTGAAGTTACACTGAGATGAATTTAAGCCTTGAAATTAACTTCTTCTTGTATGAAAAAGTCTTCCAATAAAATAGATGGTTCATCTACCATCATAAAATCAGATCAGAGACACACTTGATGATACTGTCAAGATAGAGAAGCTGTTTAGTAATAAATGAGCATCTGATTCTTTTAACTTGAGACAGAACCATTTATAAGCCACTTGAGTACTCCTGTTAAGCGGGGTGAGTGCCTGCTCTCCACTGCCTTGACAGAGCAAAGGTCTCCTGTTGCAAGCAAGAAGCTGTCTATAGTTGCTGATCTTATAACCACCTTGTGTGTCATCTGTTCATAGAATCACAGAATAGTTAGGGTTGGAAAGGACCTTAAGATCATCTAGTTCCAACCCCACTGCCATGGGCAGGGACACCTCACACTAAACCATCTCACCCAAGGCTCTGTCCAACCTGGCCTCGAACACCACCAGGGATGGAGCATTCACAACTTCCTTGGGCAACCCATTCCAGTGCCTCACCACCCTAACAGGAAAGAACTTCTTCCTTATATCCAGTCTAAACTTCCCCTGTTTAAGTACTAACCCGTTACCCCTTGTCCCATCATTACAGTCCCTAATGAACAGTCCATCCCCATCCCTGTAGGCCCCCTTCAGATACTGGAAGGCTGCTATGAGGTCTCCACGCAGCCTTCTCTTCTCCAGGCTGAACAGCCCCAACTTCCTCAGCCTATCTTCATACAGGAGGTGCTCCAGTCCCCTGATCATCCTCGTGGCCCTTCTCTGGACTTGTTCCAACAGTTCCATGTCCTTTTGATGTTGAGGACACCAGAACTGCACACAATACTCCAGGTGAGGTCTCACAAGAGCAGAGTAAAGGGGCAGGATCACCTCCTTCGACCTGCTGGTCATGCTCCTTTACACAACTTGATAATTGAGAAAGGCAAAAGAGAAAATTCACACATACACAGGAACAAATAGGATCTATAATCAGTTTGCATATTGGCATCAATATATCTATTTTTCTATTCAAAACTATGTTCCTGTTACATTCTTTCCTTTTATGTGTGTGTAGTATACAATTGTATAATGAGGTATGTTTCTACTTTCATCAAATACTGGGATGTTACTAGTAAAGGGTGTTGCTGAATGTGCATATGGAAATGTATTAATTCAAACAATCAGCATGAGAGGCGACTGTCACTATGAAGCCTGAAAGGAAATCTGTACTAAGCATTCCTGATGAAAACATCTTTCTTTGGTGCTCAGAAGGTTCTTCTGCTGTCTTTAGTCACTTATATCTCTCATTCTGACAGGACTAATTCAAGCACAATACATCTTCAGAATTAATATCATAACAGTGTAATAAATCTTTAAATATAAGGCATTTGAGTAGGCAATTCACATAGCCATGCAGGTGTGCTGCATACAAAACCAGCGAGATCAGAAACAGTTAATGGTGTTTCCTAATCTGTATTTCATATGCACAAGCAGATGGTCATAACTGCCATTCTTAAGAAATCAAAAAAGTCTCAAAAAACAGGCTGAAAGGGATCTTAACATGTCAAGGCAATAGCAACCATATTTCAAACATGGTTAAAATACAGATATGGGTAATTAAAATATAGATATGGATATTCCAATATGGATAAAAGTTACCTCCTGTGGAGCAGCCTTCTTCCAACTGACTTTTAACATGGGTTACTTTCATTAAAAAATTTCATTAGCAGCCACAGATGCCTATTAACAGGATTATCTGAATATGGGATATGAAATACCAAGTCTTGCTCAAATCAGAGATTTTACTCATGGCTAGCCCAATCCAGGTTTTCTTGCTTCAGAGAGAAGTCATATGGACCTTCATACAGTTTGACCTGCTAACTCAGGTGCATGTTTAAAAACCCAACTCATCTTTTTATGGAAAAATAAAAAATTAAAAAAAAATAAAAATCTAGAGATTTGACTGCTTTCAATCCCTGGCAGTAGTTGGAAAGACTATGTACAGTGGCATTCTATGCATATTTGGTATTTTCCAGACTGTCAAGCAGCCTTTTCTGTTGTGAGAAAACTTAACAGTAATTCATTAAGGAAGGAGCATATATAAGTAATTTGATGACAGATAAATTAGTAGAAACCAAAACTGTACTTATCAATCCTCAAGCTATTCAGTCTAAATAAGCTTAAAAATTACATATTCACAAAACCACACAAAGTTAGCAGCCCTTTCAGAATCCGTATCTATAGTTTATCATCTTATTTTGATTAGCTTTCACATATGGTGTCAACCTTCATTATTACACTACATGGAAAGAAAGGAGCAGAAGAGAAGTACAGCTGTCCCCACCACATCTTATGCTTTCCCTGCCCCTCTGCTTCGCTGTGAGATACAAATCAGTCCCCTAAGTAATTTATTGCTAGTGATGCCATACAAAGACTGCTCCATTGTGCCATTTGAAAATAAGCCTGCTCCTCTGCTTCTCACTTAAGTCTTCTGCTAAAAGTATAGAAATGCATGCCTCAACCTATGGCTCTAGATGGAGTATTTTAATCACTGAGATCAAAATACCCTCGATTAAAATCTATGGCTATTTCAAAGAGTCAGTAATGAAATCTAGGTAACCACAACAGAAGTAAGTTTCGCAGTTCATGACATATTATAGCAGATTCTCACATTACAGTAGTTTTACATTTATAATTACATACAACAGATGAAGAAATCACTCTTCTGGTGCATTTAAACCCTTGTGCAAAAAAGCCAAACAGCAGGCAAGTCAGATTCAAGACACATTACAGCTGTTCAGTTTCATAGTTGCCTTAGTGTATAATAAAATACACTGACTATATCACAAAGGTTTTAAGAAATGTGTAACGTATTTATAATGTAGAGGAATTATTTTTACTTCTTTTTTGTTTTACCATGCACAAAGCACAGTCTCAATTGAAAACAGTTTCTGTGCTCTACTGCAGTATTAAAAAATAGTAAATGCAGCTATGTGAAAAATTAAAAAGATGGAATAAAGGCACCAGACCTATCAGAACGCATAAAATGTGAATGAATGCTGATGAATAAAGCCTTTTGAAAACATAAAATCAGGTGCATCCATTGAAGGAGTTAGCATGTATTTAGGCTATAATCTAGACATTGACCTTGTCAGAGTTGAAGGGTTATTATATTTTTATATATATGTATATGTGTGTGTATGTAAGTCACTCAAATTGATATACATTTTACAAGAGCCACATTTTATTAGACAATAAATTATTCATTATGAAGGTAATTTAACTTTTGTATTCTTACATTTAAATGCAACAGTGCAAAGCCAGGAGAAGTCTACTTTTCTTCCTTTTATTTTTATTTTTTTTTACACTCCTGAATGTTGTAAGATGCTTACTAAGCACAGGACCACATTCTACTCTGCCATTACCTCCTTGGAAACCTGGAATATTGCAAGGTTGACTGCTTCAAGTTTGTATTGAATCTCATTTCAACCCACAAATATCCTGATTCGACAAGACAATTTTTGGAGCAGTTCCACAAACAGAAGATGTATAATCAGCTTTTTCCTAACGGAAACAGTGACAGCAATCATATGATTACTGTGTGGTAAACCTCCTCTATCATATGCTTTAATAGGCATCCTTAGAATTTGTTTTCCAGCTGTCACCTATCTATATATCCTGATGGCTAGAGAAATACCCAAACTAGTCACACAAAGAAATTAAGAGTGAGTTTTCTGTGCTACCTGGAAATGTTCTCCAGCTCCATGAATATTTAAACAATATATGAAGCATTTGCTATTAAAAATCAACAGAGTAAACATCATTCTGCTTTAAGCTGCAATTGCTCCTTTATAGCACTGAACAAGAGAATGTAGGCTATTAGGCTATTTATTATTTGGAAATATGTACCACATATCTGGATGAAACGTGAGCCATAAGAAGTGAACCTATGTAAACAGACAGAAAAGCACTTTTTGATGGCTTAAGTACTATTTTCACTTTCAATAACTGCAATCTGAGCATGTAGTATACTGTTAGATATGAAATGTACTTCCAAAGTAGGACTTAGGATACAGAAAATAAATAAACAGAAGATTCCCAATTCTTCCACTGGAATAGTTAGTGCTAACTGCAGTTCTGCTTTAGGAAATGGTAGAAAGCTCTGGATTGAGAGAGGACATTAAAATTTCAGCTGAGATGAAAGCAAGCGAATTCAAGGCTAACTAAAGCCTGAATTTACCACAAGCACTTTTCCTCCAGATACCTGCCATCTTTGTCAGAAGGCCGAGACATTCATTTGGTGCTGGCACATGCATATGCCAGGAAGATCCTTGTCTATTTTCTGCTGCTTGAAATATGCCAGCCCTCCCACTAGAGCTGCTGCACAGCTGTCAACTATGGTAGGCAAGCACACTATGATATCTACTAAACAAAATTAAAGTATCTACCTTTCCAAAAGGGGATACCAGCAGCCTTCCGCTCTCTCTTGAGCTGGTCTGGGAGGCAGTTTTACCCACACTCATTTCCTCTTCACACCTGGCTATCTTCTTTTTCAGTTTCTCTCTTCTTTGCTGGTCAGCAACTTAGGAGAGAGATAAAGTTTGTCAGATCCAAACTCAAATATTTTTCTTTTTTTTTGTCCTACATGACTTAAAACAGAGAGGTTTCCAATTGCTCAGCAAAGTCAGACTATTGAGATGTGTTCCACCTCCAACACACAAAAATTATAAAAAGCTACCTCTATTCTTAGAATACCAGAGTATGTTGGTAGTTGAAGCTGTACCCTAGCTTCCCTGAAGTATTCTGATCTCAGAACTAATTCAC